TATGATACTTCTAAAATATATAAACTCTCTTAAGTTTTCAGTTTCCCAGCACACTGGACATTCAAACAGCCTGGATCCTATTTAACAAACATTGTTGAATGTATTCAGTTAATAAAAGCTGGGCAAATATTAGTAAAGGGCTTGTAATGGTTGTGAGTGACATAAAGGTTAAAAGCTTTTGATAGCATTGTGCCAAACTGGAGTAAAGCTTGAAGAAACTGAAGTGATGTGTCAGTAAGAAATCTCAGCACTGATTCAGACATCATGAAATAATAATTTTTCAGAAACTGGAAAAGATGCAACTGCTTTGCAAATCTGAATTTAGTTTTAGAACTTGAAGCTTTTAACATTATTCAGCTCATATTATCCTGTTTTCCTGTTAACAGACCTGTCCCAGTTTGACATTTCCTGGGAAAGCAAGATGGTTTTTGTCCAGTGCATGTTACACTGTTTCTCCATAAGGACTAGGACAAGAGAAGAAAGGGCTTCCAAGAAAGTAGATGAGCATATAGGGAACATTATCTCTCGGTGTAAACTTTGATTATTATTTTTTCATTTGCTTGCTGCCCTCTTTGCACAGAGGAAAAGTCTCTGTGCACCCCAGGACACAAGAAGGTTTCCCAGCACATCCTCAGAGCTCCGAGAGTCACAATGGGAACACCATAAACCATACACAGTTTCAGGATTTCTGTAAACATAGTATTCCAGCTCCCAAAACCGCTCTTAGAATTCCTTCTTTAAAGGCTTGTCTGGATGAGGATAAAGGTGTATTAAAAAAAAAAAAAAAAAAAAAAAAAAAAGTGTCAGTGAAAACTTTTAATTAACACGTTTTCAAAATCTCAGTGTTGGCAGGGTGTGTTGCATTTTAGTGCATTTGCCAGCAAATGTGTTAATATACATTTGTGTCCCAACAACATGTAGCAAGTTAGGACATGTTTTTAAAAGTTTCGAATTTTAATAGGAGTTAAAACGTGTTCACGATAGTGGTTTTACCTTAGTCGAGTGTGAGTGTCACTGATGGGTTTTTCTGGGATTTCAGTGAGCAGCTGCCGTACTGGCAGGGAGCTGCTACTGAGTAGCTTTCTCCTTTTCCTGAACTGTCAAATGAAAGTGTCATTTCATTTACCTGTCTTTCGTGAATGGACGGAAATAAATGTTTTACAATGTATTGGGAAAAACAACAACAACAAAAAAAAGCTGGATATTAGTGAGATGGGACGTTGGGCAGTGGTTGCAGGAGTCGGAAGCCATACTTTCATCGGGTGGTAAATTGCAGTTTCAGAGGACCTGATGTAAGGTCAGTATTTCTGTAGCCACATAACCCAGAGTGTGGCACCACATTCAGCTGTTGTTCTAGATGTGGACACACACTTTGCTGGGGCAACTTTGCCTCAGCTGCTCTTAGGCCAAAAGTTATCATCTTTTTTCTAACCTCCCCACAGAAAGTTAGTGTAAAGTTGACATAAGCACTACATACCATGCTTGTACCTGGTTAGCTTGACTGGAAGGATTGTGTTTATGCATGATCAAAGTTGTAGTTGCAAGGCACAGATTCAGTATTAATGACCATGAAGTCACAGGCAAGCATCAGTAACTCCAAGTCAGCTGTGACACTGATTTTCTGGGTAGCACACTACAAAGCAGTCCACACCTCAGTCTTTCCTCTTCCCAAAAGGCAGATGAAAATACCTCAGGCAAAATGTGCTGAGAGGAGTCACATTTTGGAAGAACTGAAAAAAGACAACTTCATCTGGGGCATGCAACACACTATTAGAAGTCAGGAAACTGCCAGTGACAAACAAGGCCCTCAACCTTTGGAGTTGCAAAGGGAAGGTGAATCCTGCTGCCCACCTGAGAACAGGTCGCCAGCCTTGTCTCTTTGCCTTAACTTTTGGGCTCCTCTCATTTAATTTTTGGTTCTCAGTCATTGCTGTCCTGTTCTTAGAAATATTGTCACCCATGCCACAGGTGTGGGGGGGATCTGATTTTATGCTGATATAGCTATTGTGGTAAAAGCCTTAACACAAATACACCTGACAAATGTACTACTTTTTTGAGATACTAAATCTCCAACACCCTATGCACGAGCAACTTTACATTCATATCTCCGCATTCCTGCCACAGAAATGCCATAACTTTTTATGTGGAAGGCAAGGTAGAAAATCAGTATTCTCATAATCATAACTGATTAGTCCTGCTCCAAAACACCAATGAGTGATTGTTTTGGTTTTTCTCCTTTCTTTCCTCCCTCCTTTCCCTTGGAAGGAGATGAAAAGATCAGGAACTTGAGTAAAGAAGTTTAAGAATGAGGAATCTTCTCTCCAGTCTATCTCTTTGCTTGGTGCATAAAGGTGTGGTGTGACACTAAGTCGATGGGTTCAAGAGGTCATTCAAGGCGTTAAATCTTGCATTTGCACCTCATGTTCAAGGGTTTGGGTTAGAGATAGCTGTCCAGGTTTTAATTGCAATGGGACTGACAGCAGGAATGTACATGTATTCCAGACTATCTGCTTGTCCAGAGACTCTACAGAACAAAGTGTGGAACTAAGCACCTAGAGTAAGATTAGTCAAGGCTTTTTCTTTTTTTCTTTCTCTTTTTCTTTTCAGATTTTAAAGCATTGAAATGGTTGAAAAATATATCAGAAGCATAATGTAGAGCACATGCCATCCAAACTCCCACAGTCACTCTGTGAAAATTTTAAGTGACACTACTCTGAAATTCAGACACAATTACAAAGGAAAGTAAAACTGCACATGGTCGTGCCAGTAAAACTGCATATGCCCATGCTGATGAAATTGCATATACCCATGCAAGATGGACGGGTGCCTTTTAAGACTGATTGTGAAGTCCTGTCGTGGTCTTCCAGCAGGTCTTCTTAGGCTGTTAAATGAACCAGTCTAAAAATGAAAAAAAAAAAAAAAAAAACCACAAAAAAAAACCCAAAAAACACCACCACCAAAATCACGATTTGCTTAATATCCAGATTAAAATGAGCAGAGAAAACACTACACGTAGAGTCCCCTTGAGCAGCGGAGGAGGATCCCGCGGAAGAGAGCTGTCTAGCTGTCCGTGCCCCACGGTCGCGCTGCCGTCACGCCACAAGGTGAGCCCCTCCGCAGCTCGCTCCGTCCCTTCTGCCGGCGCTGCCCGGCGCCGCACACACCGCTCCGCCACGCACACCCGGGCCGTGGGGGGGAGCGGCAGCCCATGGATCCCCGGAGAGCGGGTCCCGGCACCGGTGCCCCCGGGCGCGGCCGCCGCGGTGCAGCCGCAGGTGACGCTGGTGCGGGCAGGGCCGCCCCCGCCCCATTCCGCTCCCGATCCCACCACGGAGGCCCCGCCGCCCCTCGGGGAAGGAAACCGCCGCCCTCGCCAAGGAAACCGCCCGGCGGCGCGGCCCCGCCGAGGGAGCCCCGGGGCGCGGTGGCGACACTGCCGGCACCCCCACCCTGCGGCGGCCGCTCACCCCGGCAGGGCTGCGGGTGCTGCCGGTGCGGGGAGCGCGGCCGCGGGTGGGCGTGAGGGGAGCAGCCCCCCGGGGGAGCGGGAGCTGCTGCGCCGGGCTCGGCGGGGCGGGCGGCCGAAACAAAGGGAGCGGCGGGTAGAGGCGGCGGAGGGGGATGTTGTGCGTGAAATGCGGCGGGTGGGAGGGAGAGTTCGCATCCACCCCGTAGAAAACACCAACCATATGCCCCTTTTTGCCCCCAAGTCACGTAATATTTCCTTGAGCGGCTGAAAGCAGCCGGCTGCCCTCGCCGGGGTTACCGGGTGGCGGCTCTGGGTGCCCGCACGAAGCCCACCGGTCCCGCCAGCCCCGGTAATCCGCGGGGAAAGGGAGGTGGGAGGCTGGGCCGAACCTCCCCGCTTCGCAGCCCTTCATTATCGGAATCATTTTAACATCCTTGTTTATAAACAAGAGGCGTTCGGAGGAGATTACCCGACTCAGGGAAACGATCGTTCTGACGCTCGTTTCTACTCCTTAAAAGGGGATGGGGGTGTCGAGGAAATGGGGGCGAAGGGGGGCTCTGGGCCAGCCTTCCCCGCATCACAGCGCGGAGGGAAGGAGCCGCCCGGCTCCCCACACACGCTGACCCCTCCCCCGAGAAAGGAAATCACTCGGGTCCGTGATATTTCACCCACCCCCAGGCTGCTAAGGTCTCCAGATCACCGTTAATTCGCGTGCATTAGTTTCGGGTTGCATCTTATTCGAGGGTTTAAATTCAACGTAAATACACGCTCGGGGCTGGGGTTTGGGAAAGCGCGAATGTTTCCCTGATAACGTCGCTTCGCCCACTACTTCAGTGCATGGAAATGTAATCGTGAAGTGGGTCACCGCCTCAGAAAATACTTTAAAAACACAAATCAGGAATAATCAGACAGCAGAATTTAATTAGAGCCGTAGGCTAATCACAAAATATTTTATTCCAAGCCAATATCGCTATGGGGGAGGGGTCCGTTTCTGCTCCGGCAGCGGCTCCTGCCGCCGCTGCTTTAGCGTTTGCAACATCTGGCCTACAGACCTACTAATTTCGACTCGTGATCTCGTTCGGCGAAATCCGATCTACGTGGTTCAAATACCTTCCAAATTGGGGGCGATTTAACAATCCCGACCAATTAAACCCAGGGTAGAAAAGAATAAAAAAAAAAAAAGCCCAACGGGGTTAAAGGAAAAAAAAAAAAAAAAAGCAAGCAGCAAATCCCCTCCTTCCCTCTCCCCCGCCCGGGGCTCGCACACACTATCTGTTGCTCTCTCACGGCGGCAGCGGGCGGGGGCGTGCGGCGGGGCCGGGACGCTCTCACTCACACTCACACTCGCACTCACCCGCACGCCCCTCGCACCATTGTCCCTGCCCGCCCGCCCCGCTCCTTTTCGGCGCGTTTTGCTGGCGGCCCGGCGCGGGTGCCGGCGCGCCCGCCCGCGCCGCGGCGGAGGGGAGCGGAGCGGAGCGGAGCGGCACATTCATTATCGGCCGGGGGCCGATTTCAAACCGCTGCCATCGCGGCTCCATTGTTCGCCGGGCGGGCGGGCCCCGCCCCCCTTTGTGCGCGCCGGCCGCGATTGGCCGGCGGCGGGCGGAGCGCTGCCGTCACCGCTCGGGAAGCCCATTCATCTGTGCACTTGGGCGTTGGACTCCGCATCTTATTAGCAACCAGGGAGATTTCTCCATTTTCTCCTTGTCTACAGTACGGCTACAAATCTGGGATTTTTTATTACTTCTTTTTTACTAAACTTGGGCTCCTTTTTTTTTTTTTTTTTCCTCGACTTTTTCTTCCCTTTTTTTCCCCTCCCTCCTGTGCTGCTGCTTTTTGATCTCTTCAACTTTAAATTTTTTAAAAGGAGTGCATTATAATCGGTTCTGTTCTCTCTTCTCTTTTTTTTTCCCCTCTGGTGTGTGTGTGTGTTGCTGCTGCTGCTGGTCGCCCAGTATTTATACCAACCCAACGCTCTTTGTTTCCCCTCCTTTTGGATCTGTTGAGTTTCTTTGTTGAATAAGACAGCATGGGTGCCCAGTTCTCCAAGACCGCTGCAAAGGGCGAAGCCTCCGCCGAAAAACCTGGGGAAGCAGTGGCTGCATCTCCATCCAAGGCGAATGGACAGGTAAAAAACAAACAAAAAAAATTAAAAAATATTAAATCTAGTCCTTTTTTTAAGCCAACTTCGACGGACTCTCTTTCGCATCCTGTTTAATTCTTCCTTTGATGCCCCAGTGGCACATTCAATGGAGAATACGGTCGATCCTTTTATCTTTGCAACTCGAGGCAAAGGAATAATTTCTTTATTTTGGTTAAACGGGCTTGGCTTTGAATGATTCGTTCCTTTTTCTTTCCTGTGGGGGGGAGGGGGGGCAGGGGGCACGGTTCTTTCTTTCCTTTTTTTTTTTTTTTTTTTTTTAAATCCCTCGTGTATTATGGTGGAGTGTCTCGATGGCTCGTAAACGGAAGGATCTTACACCTTGGCTTGGCTTTTCTGCGCGCTTAACCTGCTCCCGAAGACGCTCGGTGACTCGCGCGGAACGCTTATCGCGGTGGAGCAGGATGGCTGTGTGTTAGCGGGGGTCGGAGCCGCCGGGCGGGGGGCTCCGCGGGCAGCCCCCTCGGGCAGGACTGCGGACCGGACGCTGTGCCGCCCGCCCCGTCCGTGGCAGCTCCGCCAGGGGCTCGGCCGCCGCGGGGCACGGCTTTCTGTCGCCCACCGCCCCCTCCCCACGCGTGAGCCGGGCTGGCCGTGCCCTCGCTGCCCCTCGCAGCAGCGGCGGCGTTGCGGGCAGCCACCCCCCGCCGCCCCCGCAGCTGCCGCCCGGGGCAGCCAGCCGCGCTCCGGGCGCCTGAAAGATGCAAATGCGGCGTGAGCGAGGGGGACGGGGGCGGGAGCGCCTGGCCGCACCGCTCGGGCGCGGAGGGGCCGCGGCGGGCGGGGGCCGGGGCAGGGCCCGGCGAGCTTTGTTCGCCTTCCCGCCCCGCGCCGCCGCCGCGGCTGGACGGGGCGCGCCGGGGGCGGTGCGCGGCGCCGCCGCCGCTCCGTGGAACCGCGGCGCCCTCTGGCGGCCACCACGCGTCCCGCCCGCCGCCGGGGGCGCCCGGCCCGGCCCGGCCCGGCCCGGCGGAGGGCGCGGCGTTCGAACCGCGGGAGCGGGAACCGTGCGAGGCGAGGCCCGGCGGGCGGGCGGGAGGGCGCGTCCCGCTCCGCACGCAGCCTCCGGGCACCGTCGGTAACGCTGGTCGCTGTCTTGCAGGAGAACGGCCACTTGAAGGTGAACGGCGACGCCTCCCCCGCGGCGGCGGAGGCGGGCAAGGAGGAGGTGCAGGCGAACGGCAGCGCGCCCGCCGAGGAGACGGGCAAGGAGGAGGTGGCCTCGTCGGAGCCCGCCTCCGAGAAGGAGGTGGGAGAGGCGGAGAGCACCGAGCCGGCCTCCCCAGCGGAGGGCGAGTCCTCCCCCAAGACTGAGGAGGGCGCGACCCCCTCGTCCAGCAGCGAGACCCCGAAAAAAAAAAAGAAGCGCTTTTCCTTCAAGAAGTCCTTTAAGCTCAGCGGCTTCTCCTTCAAGAAGAACAAGAAGGAGGCCGGCGAGGGGGCCGAGGGCGAGGGCGGCGCCGCCGCCGCCGCGGCGGAGGGCGGGAAGGAGGAGGCAGCGGCGGCCCCCGAGGCGGCGGGCAGCGAGGAGGGCAAGGCGGCCGCCGAGGAGCCGTGCGCGGCCGGCAGCGCCGAGCCGGCGAAGGAGGAGGCGGGGGACTCGCAGGAGGCCAAATCGGACGAGGCCGCCCCCGAGAAGGCGGCGGGAGAAGAGGCCCCGGCGGCGGCGGCGGAGGAGCAGCAGCAGCAGCCGGCGCAGCAGCCGCAGCAGGCAGCGGAGGGGAAGGCGAAGGCGGCGGAGGAGGCGGCGGGCAGCGGCGCCGCCACGAGCGAGGCGGGCAGCGCTGAGCAGGAGGCGGCCCCCGCGGAGGAGCCGGCGCGGCAGGAGCCCCCCACCGAGAGCAGTCCCGAGGGACCCGCCGCCGAGTCGGCGGAGTAGTAAGCGCCGCCGCCGCCCCTCGCCGACGGACTTTTCTTCCCCCCTGTTTGTTTGTTGGAGTGGTGCCAGGTACTGGTCTCGGAGAACTTGTCTACAACCAGGGATTGATTTAAAAGATGTCTCGTTTCTTTTTTTTCTCTCCCCCCGCAGCTCCCATCTCAAATCGTTGTGTGTTGCCGCCATTCCAACGGGCGGAGGGGGGCCCTCCTCCGCCTTCCTCTCCCACCCTCTATATTTTGGGTTTTTTGGGTTTTTTTTTTCATCAGTATTAACATTTTGTTTTGGTTGGTTCGGGTTTTTATAAATTTTTTTTGTTGGTTTTTTTGTTTTTGTTGGTTTTTTTTTAATTTCATACTTTGCAACTCTCTTCATATTATAAAACTTTTGCTGATCGGTCTATGGACATGCCCATATATGAAGGAGATGGGTGGGTCAATAAGGGATATCAAATGAAGTGACAGGGGCCGCAGTGGGGAACCCGGGGCGCGCAGCCCTTGCCGGGAGCGCGCCCCACCAGAAATGATGTAAGGGGTTAGTCTCTTTTTTTAAAAGAAAGTTATTACGATGTATTTTGTGAGGCAGATGTTCTATAAGGTTTACAACACTACAAGTCTTGATTAAGAAGGAAAGGAAAAAGGAAAAAAAAATAAAAAATAAAAATCAATACCCAGATAAAGAGATCATAGTCTTAGGAATTCATTTAAACCATAGGAACTTTTCACTTATCTCATGTTAGCTGTATCAGTCAGTGATTAAGTAGAAATACAAGTTGTATAGGCTTTATTGTTTATTGCTGGTTTATGACCTTAATAAAGTGTAATTATGTATTACCAGCAGGGTGTTTTTAACTGTGACTATTGTATAAAAAAACAAATCTTGATATCCAGAAGCACATGAAGTTTGCAACTCTTTCCACCCTGCCCATTTTTGTAAAACTGCAGTCATCTTGGACCTTTTAAACACAAATTTTAAACTCAACCAAGCTGTGATAAGTGGAATGGTTACTGTTTATACTGTGGTATGTTTTTGATTACAGCAGACAATGCTTTCTTTTCCAGTTGTCTTTGAAAATAAAGGAAAACTCTTCAGATGCAATGTTTTTTTTTTGTGTAGCATCTTGTCTATCATGTTTTTGTAAATACTGGAGAAGCTTTGACCAATTTGACTTAGAGATGGAATGTAACTTTGCTTACAAAAATTGCTATTAAACTCCTGCTTAAGGTGTTCTAATTTTCTGTGAGCACACTAAAAGCGAAAAATAAATGTGAATAAAATGTATAATTTGGTTGTCTTTCTTTTATGGATACTCTGGTAGCTTAAAGGGACTAACCAGTATTGTCTAAATTTGTAGAGAGAAAGTCATGTGTCCTGTTAGCACTAGCTTTGAAAACTTCCTGAATCCTGGACTGTGTAATACTGTGCATCTTACAGAGAAACTGTGCAATGCACCAGGTAATTTGTAGGCTTTTCTGGCTTTAGAAAGAAGAGTGGAAGGCAATCTGAGCATGTACAGTGTATGTTTTTCCTGTCCAGGGTCCATCTTGCTTTTAAGACCAGAAGTATCCAGCATATGAGAGTTTTGCCTCTTGAGGAAAATAAGATTTAACTTCAATTGCTTAGGGTGGGGCAATGAAATTTTTTTGCTGAGTTGCTTAAAAATTAAGCTCTAGAACAGATGTCCCACTTCTATCTTGGTATGCTGGTCCTACTTTGGTACCTAGACTATTAGCCTGAAAACTTTAGCCTGGAAGGAGAAAAGGGAAATTAACACTGCCATTCTGCTCAAGTAATTAAAAGCAATATTTTCTTTTTTTCCTCAAGTGCTACTCCCAAGTACAGGTGAGTTTCAAAACAGATTTCCAAATTTATCTATAAAAAATCTCCTGGTGCTTACTTTTTAATTGTTAGGCTTTCTGGCTAATTTCCAGCATATTGCTCAGGGCATATTATGCCTTAATAAAACAGTGAGTTCATGTAAGAAAAGCAGCAGTGGTGTTTGGAGGGTGGAAATTGATTCAAGAAAGTGTTGCTTCTAAGTTTATAGGAGAAAGTTTAGTGTTACACTTATTTGCTTCCACCTACATTTTCAGCGGAAACTCTTTGGAAGCAATTATGATTCATTTTATGAGAAAATGGCACGTTAGCACCTTGTTCCCTAAAGAACAAAGCCTAAACTGAATGAAGTATAGTAGATTTCCTGCTGAATGCATACTTCTTTTTGTTTTGGTTTGGTTTTTTTCCTGTTATTTGTTTGGGGTTCTTTTGGTTTTGTTTTGTTTTGTTTTGTTTTTTTAAATTCAGCTGTCTACCATTTTAACTTTGGCTTGTATGTACTCTAGTTGCCCTGGTATTTCTCTATAGCTTTAGAAATGTATTGAAACTATGCTATAATTGCTGAGGGACAAAAATAAATGGATGTAAAACAAGATCCTCCACACCAGTGTCATTCTTGGAGTACATGTGTTTGAAGTCTAGTGCATAACTTCTTTGCTAAGGGGTTTTTATAACATGGCTGTAAAAACCTGTTCTGAGACGCATGATGTCTTGACCATAGAGTCAATGTCTCTTTTTAATAAATATATATATATTTAAATCTAAGGATTCTTAAAAAGAAGTCTGAATTTCTTCTTTTTTTCTCTTTTTTTTTTTCCCAAACTGTATGTGTACATATGAAGAAAATAATTTCTAGTAAAGTTCTTTTTCAGATTTTTCTTCTCAAGCTTTCATGTTCTTTCCTCACCCAGCTGGTGTTATCTGAAGTGCTTCCTATCCCTGGGCGTGCACAATTGCTCCTACCCTAGGAAGCCAGGCTTCTGGCTTGGGGCTTTGTCATTCCGTGGCTTGGCTGACTTGAAACCAAGTCCTAACATAGCAGAGTTTTGAAAATACATCTTAAGAATACCAGTTGCATCTACTTTTCTGGTCCCAGCAGTCGAGTGAGATTTGATGATACCAGTTTTCCACTGTGTGGTGTAAGAAGATGGGAGTCAAGGCTTGGAGTAATGGAAATGGAGGAGTTTTGAAATGCTTCCTCCTGCCAAAAAATTGTGCAAGAGCATCCTTCCTCCCTTGGTCCCCAAGGGACTGAATAGTGACTTCTGTGCTATTGTGGAATATCCTTATTTATGTGCAAGGAAAATGAAGGAGCTGGGTGTTAGTGACTTGTCAGGTGGTTCATATTCTTACTGAGAAAGCTTTAAACTTTTTTTTTTTTCCTTGATTGCCTTGATGGAAATGCTAATTATAATGGATATTATAATTCCAACAAATTCTCTTGGAATGTATGTGGGTTTAAAATGTGTGATTTCTTGGGTTGCTCTAGTTCGTTTTAAGCAGAAGGTATTATTGCTATGAACAAGGTAACTTGTGTTGTGCTGAACAATGTCATATTTTTCAGTAAAACTTACACTGGAATCTAATTTTGCCTGACTAGGGACTCTAGAGATTTACTTTTTTATGTTTATTTACTTAAACTAAGCCAACAGTCTTCCTTGTTTAATAATATAACTTGCTTGTACAAAAGTCCTTTCAAATTTCATGCCTATCTTGGTAATATCTAAACTTCATTTCAAACTCCACAATGTCTAACTTCAAGTACTCCTCTTTTGTATCTGGTCCTGATATATTCACTTAGAGACTTTGCCTTCAGGCAATGAAGCAAGACAAGAAAAGGGAAAGGCGAGCTGAGTGAGGCAAGTGGAGCCTAGGCTTTGGCTTCTGCTGAAGTGCCTTCTCCTTCCTGCTTGTGTACACAACCCCTGGATACAAATCAAGTCTTCATGTATCAACTTCTGACATACCTAAATACTCCTGTTGGTTGTATTAGATGCAAATGTTGCATATGTGAGTATTTTATGCCTTTATGATGATGTTGTCTGTGTCTTAAGAATGTTTTTTGTTACATACTACTGTTTGAAACAGCTAACCCTTAACTTCACTTGCAGATGATTTGATGAAGGTCAGAGGTTTTCCTCTGTTTTGTTTGGGTTTTTCTAAGTTGTAAGTCTTTTTATATTGTCTTAAAAAAAAGTCAAGAATAAGACACATTCTAGTCTAAAGGTGTAATGCTGAGTAATGATCTCCTCCAAAACTAGTCCTGTGAATTTGGTCTTTGTGCTCTTTGTATAGTGAAAGAGCAGTAAAAGGTCATCATTGGTGATACTGGACTCCTTTCAGTGTTCGTTTAAGAGACTGAGGTAACATGTTTTCCATAATGATGTAGTTTATTTGAAAGCATCCTAATCATAGCTTGTGACTTTTTTTTTTTTTTTTACCATGCTCAGGTCACTGAGATAGAATAAAACAGGTACTTTGGCTCCTGAAGTAAGCAGCAAGTGAAAAATGGTATATCGTTTATAACATACTGTAGACACTGGAGTTAATTTCTTTTCTTTACAAATCTGGGGTCTTCAGATAATTGGCAGTGAATGGAAACTATTGGCATTGCAAGGAGTCCAGCAGGGCAGAGGCAAGCAGGCCAGGCAGCCTCCTGTTACTCTAAGAAATGAATGTTAGAGGTCTTACTACGAAGTACAAGGTTATTGACTGCCTGTGCCTTAGCTTACCCCAGGAAGAGCCAGTCTGGTGGTGAGCTTCTAAGGCCTGTTGCTTGTTAGAGGACTTAGGGAAGACGCAGCAGCATGTTTCATGATGCATTTACTGAGGCAACTGTTGAGGTCATTCTGAAGTGGGAGCACTGCCTGTTGGGAAGATCGGAAGAGGGTTAGCAATGGGATCAAAATGGCAGTTATACCTAAACAGATGAGTGACCAAAATATTGACCTGTGAATAAAGTACAGAGATAGGAATATGTAAGTTTGTCCTGTGTTATTGATTTCGATATGAAAGCAATAGACTCGGACTCAGAATGCTCCTTTTTAAGGATATCGATACTGTTACCTGATGAAGGTGACATAAAACTTCAGTTGATGTGTTTAGAATGTTTTTAAGCCTTGAGGAGGGTTACAAGTATTATTTATACATCTTTGCTCTCAGTCTTTGCTGTAGGAAGGCATGTTTACCCAGAAGAGTAACAGGATTATCAAGATACTGGGTGAAACAGGACATAAATATTTGCAGTAGGAAAGTCCCAAACAAGATATGTGGAATGTTAGTTCTCAAAGATATGATGAATTTAGATAAATAGCAAAGACATTATTCAATTATATTCAATTAAAGAGGGGGAACTGTGTTCTTTTTTTTTTTTTTTTTTTTTTTCCTAACACAATTCTAATTTTAGAACAGCAAGTACAGGGAAACATTACTGGTGGTGCATGCATTTTTATCACCAAGCAGGTAAATATTCCAGGACTTAGGATTCCTAGGATAGTTCTTGTGGCCATGTATATGATAACCTGCATTAGAAGAGTGCTGGAGAGGGAATGTTTTGAGTCAAGCAGTGCTACCTTCTGAGGTCTTTTCCAGCACCACAGTTGATACTATTGGTATTAAAATATTTGATAGCTACTCTTTCCAAAGACCATAGTGACTAGAGATTTATTTTTAGGTACAGTCCAAACTAGACTTTGTCTCCTAAAGTTCACACCTTAGTTTCTAAAAAATAGAGAAAGAAAATAAAATACCTATGGATCTATTGGATAGGTAAACCATTCTTGCTGAGTAGCTCTAATAGCTGCAAGAAATTACTTACTAGCCTATACTGGAGGAATTATCTCTCTGAAATTCGGTATGTAGACTCTGAATATTTTAAATTATTTTGATGACACAAAAGCCATGCTTACAAGGGTCATCTTCTGTTCAAAGAAAGCAAACCCATCCATTCTCACTGGAAAAGAATCATTTCAAACCAGTAAATTAAGTCCTCTGTAGGCAAGGCCTTTACAGAAGAAGAGTGACAGAAAAAAGAAACCGACCACCAAACTTTAGGACCTAAAGGAAGAAACTTTTTTCTAGCCCTTTGGAGCAACACTGTCATAGGTGTAAAATACCCCCTTTCTGTCTTTAAAAAAATATTATTTAATTGTGTGAGGCATTGTTTCCACTGAAGTGCAGAGCTGTGCTCCTTCCAAAAAACCACCAATGAAAACAAGTCCAAAATTGATGAAGGTAACATTTGTCAGGGATGAATCATTAGACCACTCACAAAGTCCCACCTTGCAGTTCAGGAGCCTGTAAAAGCAAACTTACCAGATATGGCACTTCTAAGGAGACTGGATAGCCAATATTTTCCATTTTGGTCATCAATCAAAATGGCAGAAATCATGGACTGATATTCAGAATACAGGAGGGAACATGACTTTTTTTTGTTTTTCTCCTGGTAA